CTAATTTTTTCTTTTCTCTACATTTTAAATACTAATTAATATAAAAAAGTATATTAATTATTTCTACATGCCTAAGGTGTGCCTTAAAAGATCCCTTATTTTCTGATTAAATATTTTGATTAAAAACAAAATAGGATATAACAAGTATGGAAACTATATATATTGTTAATCTAAGATTATAGATCGACTGACTTATATATATATATATATATATTAACGGTATTTTGTGATTTATTAAGGACAGAACTTTTATTTTTTTTTATGAAATCGTAACAACAAAACGACAAAACTATGATCAAGATGAGACAGAAAATGTGATTTAATAATTGTAATTTTATTTCGTACCCTGATTAGAGTGTCGAGCGGTTCACGAACCGCACTCGGTTTACTTAAAAAACCATGGTTGCTCTTCTCCAATTTCCGGTCCAGTGCATGACTCACTAACGCAAGAGACACACTGTACAACCGAGTCATGTTGCCCAGCGGCTCAGCCAACGCACCCGCGAACCCACTCTTGGCTTCCACCAGCCCGTCGTAGCATGTCTGCTGGTTTGTAACCACTCCGCTGAGCAGACTCGTGACTCTGTCCGCCAACTCGCCAGTCATGTCCTTTGCCCCCTTCAGCTCCATGGAGATCTTCTCTAAATAGTCAACATTGAGCTCGGCCAGCTGGCCACAGTCCTGCATTGCCAGTGCTTCCATAGGGGACAAGGCTGCGGCGCGTTTGCCAGCGAGGTAGTGGTTTATGATGATGGAGAGTTTACGGGCCTGCTTGAGGCATTGCTTGACGGTGAACTTGCCATAGTGGTAGGGGTCGGAGGGGGAAGATTTGAAGGCAGACAGGATGGAGCGGCAGAGTTTGGGGTAAGGAGTGGACTTGCATGTAATGGAAGGTAGCTGAGACGCTGCTGGGGGTGAGGTTGGTTGCTGAGCGGAGGACAGGAGGAGGAGAGAGGAGAGGATGGCGGTGGATAAAAGGTAGTAGAATGGCATCGACGGCATTTTGGTTGAATTATGTGTAACAAGTACTGCGAGAGGATGTATTAGGCACGTAGGCATTAATATAGAGGTGGTGGGATGTTGAAAAATTGATGAAGAGAGAGCGCGTAATTGGGACAGATAACAGGAATTTGTTTTGGGCGAAAAGGGTATTTTATTTTAGTCCCTGTACTTTTTTGAGCTTATTGAAATGACCCCTCTACTTTTTTTGTAATTTTTTCAACTTGTGTATTTTTTTTATTGAAATAAATCACTTCACTCACTAAATTACTATTCAATTGAAAAATCACCCCAAATTATTTTTTTTGAAAGAACTCCAAATTGAATAGATAACGTTGTGAAATATTATATAATTCTAAAATTCTTGCAGAGTTGTTAGAGTCCCTATGATTTAACATTCATGAAAACAGAAAAGAGTCTTTGGTCAGTAGGAATTCTTGCAGACACTACTTGGAGCTAGAGAAAAATCCTAAAACTTATAACATATGCTAGACCTCTGATGAAGCATATAGTTGGTAAAGGTGACACTATTTTTCTTTGGTATGATTCTTGGCATCACAAGGGACCTCTTATTGAAGCATATGGGTAGAAAATTGTACGAGATGTAGCCATTCCTTCTCAAGCAAAATTGTCTCATGTAATCCAGGGGGATTATTGGAAATGGCCTCCTACTAGGTCCCCTGAACTATTGTAGATTCAAATTGCTTTGTGTGGAATGTTATATCCTAATCAGGCTATGGAGGATCAGGTTGTTTGGTTGGTTTCTCCATCAGGTTCTTTTCGAACAGGTGCTACTTGGAACTTCCTTAGGGAAAAAAGATCTAAGGTACCCTGGTTTAGACTCATTTGGTACTCAAATTCTATTCCCAAACATAGTTTTATTGCTTGGCTGGCTATATTAGATAGACCCTCTACTAGGTCTAGGCAGAAGAATTGGTCTTCTTCCATCGATGACACTTGTGTGCTATGTGGGAATGCAAGTGAAACTAGGAACCATCTCTTCTTCTCATGTCCCTACACTACTCATATTTGGGAAAAGATTTCTTCTATGCTGGAAATCCCATTAAACTGCTTTTGGCAAGATGCTTTGGATTGGTTATGTAAGAGAGTTAAACATAAGGCATTGTACATCTCTCTTCTTAAATTAGCTTGGTGTGCATCAATATATCATATATGGATTGAAAGAAACAATAGGATACATAGACAGCTATATAGATCTCCTTCTGAAATAATTGATATAATTCAAATGGATGTCCGAGATAAAGTACTAGGGTTTGTAAAGGAAAGGTCTTCTCCCATGTAAAGGAAAGGTCTTCTCCCATGTCAAGGAAAATTGCAGCTCAATGGGGATTAGAAACTTTATGTACAGCTAAGGTTTGAACATATTTTAGTTTAGAAGTTATTTCATTCTTTGTACTGACATTAGTAGCAGCCTTAACCAAAAAAAGCTGCTTTGTATGGATTTTGGTAATAAATTCACATTTTACCCAAAAAAAAAAAAAAAAACATTCATGAAACATATTCTTATGACATGGATATATATATATTTTTTCATGAACCCCAAAAATTCTTT